TTAGGTCAGAGTAGAAGTGGTAGACATAATCAAGATAGCTTTTGGAAACAGAGCATTGCGCTTTTGGGGCAAGTCATCAGTGAACAAGAAATCACAATGAATCATCAGAAGGAGAAAACAATCATGAAATGATATACTTAGGAATATCATAGAAATACGCAGTATTCTTGGTTTGTTGAGTATTATAGAAAGTTTGTCAAAGAGTTCTCACAAATAGCCATTTCATTGTTGAAGCTGGTGAGAAAGAATGTTGAGTGGACTATGAAATGTGATTATAATTTTCAAGAATTAAAGAAACATTTGACTACGGCTCCAGTGTTAGGTATTCCATCAGAAATAGAAGAATTTTAGATTTACAGTGACGAGTTAGAGACTTGAAATGTGCTATAATACAAAATAGAAGAATCTCATATGCATTGATGCAATTAAAGCCGCATGAAAAGAATTATCTGACTCATAGCCTGGAGTATACTGTTGTATTAATTGCTCTCAAGATCTAGGTAGGGACATTGTTTGTATGGTATGAAGTGTGACGTATTCATCGATCATCGGAGTCAGAAATATATTTTCATATAAAAAGAGCTGAATTTGAGAAAGAAATGATGGCTAGAACTTATCAAAGCCTGCGATCTGATATACAATATTGTCCTGGTTGAACAAATGTAGTTGTTGATGTTTTGAGTCGTAAATTTACACGTAGTACAAGTTGGATTATTACTCAAGAGTTGAAACTAATTAAGGAAATTGATGTTTTGTAGTTGGAGGACAAAACCAAGAGATATTGGATGTTTATATAAATTGACCGTGCAATCAACATTGATTAACGAAATTATGGAAGCCCACAAGGAGGGCAATAAATATCAGAAACTCATTGAGCAGTTCTAGTTAGGAAAGAAGCTGGATATGACTGTAGATGAAGATGGATTATTATGAAAAAGCTATATCGTTGGGTACTTACTAACCCTGATTTGAGATTGGAGATTTTACATGAAGCTCATCATTCATGATACACAATTTATTCAAACAACACAACAATATACAAAAAATTAAAACTGATATTTTGATAGCCATGTATGAAAAAAGGTGTTATTGAATACATGTCCAAAAGTCAGGCTTATTAGATTGTTAAAGCTGAACAACAAAGACCTTATGGATTGCTACAATTATTGTTTATACCTGAGTGGAAATGAGAATATCATATTTTAATATTGGATTGAATTATCAATCCAGTATTAAAATGGCTCCATATTAAACACTATATGGCAGGAAATGTAGAACTCTGCTGAGCTAGGTAGGAGAATGTCAAATGTTAGATCCTAACTTAGTTGATGAAGAAACGGATAAATTCAGGTTAATTGGTTTTGCTAAAGATCGACAACAAAAATATTATGATCAAAACATAAAACAGTAGAGTTTAAGTTTAGTGTTTTTTTATTTCCAAAAGTTAAGGCAATAAAAAATACAATCAGATTTGATTAAGGGAGCAAGTTGAGTTTCAAATACAATGGTTCTTTCAAAAACATAGAAAGGATAAGTCAAGTTGCTTACAAGCTAACTTTACCTGCTGAGATGTCAAACATCTATGATGTATTTCAGATTTCAATGTTGAGAAAATGGATTTTAGATGCCAATCAGAGCATTTCTCATGAAGTTATTGATGTGCAAAAAGATTTAACATACATTGAAGAGCCTAAGAGAATTGTTAAATCTGGTGTTAAGAAGTTGAGGAATAGGCACAATTTTTATGTTAAGATAAAATGGAGGCATAGAACTGAACAAAAAAAATTTATTTGGGAAAGAGAAAAATGAGACAGAAATTTCACTTTCTATTAAAGTAAATATTCATAAATTTTAAGGACAATTTTTTATAAGAGAAGTATTATAATACCCAATTTTGGCTTATACAAGTAAAATTTGATCAATTTAAAATATACCAAATTTTTCACATCTCTCAAAACGCATCCAAAATAATTTCATAAATTTCTACATTTTTCGATGATCAATTTGATATATAACACTGTAGAAATTATAGATAGATTAGGAGGTATAAAAATATGAAGTATCAACTAAATTAAACTTAATTAATTACATTATTAACTTAAGTAACCATGTTACTCATCTCATCACTAAAGCACATCTACATTGCAAAGTATGTAAAGACATATTGGAGTATGGATGGCTGAGATTTTAGCTTGAGGTAAATAAGTGTATAAGTGTTTTTTGTATTTCATTCCCCGCTTCCAAATTCCTTTTCCAGCAAGCCTCTTCGCCTGGGCATTGTAGCGGAACCGAACAAAGCAAAGCGGGAGGCGGTAGAAGGATCCACAGCCCTTACTTTCTTACTATTTGGAATATTCCTTTCCTCCGTTGTAATCTTTTTCTACGATTTATCATGAGCTAGAGCATTTCTACATTTTCAGCACTGTAGCCGGAGGCGGGAAGAACCGTTAACTATGTTTTTGAGTGAGGCCAGTAGCGAGAGATTTGTAAGAGAGAGGGAGGAAGAAGAAGGGAGAAATAGAAAAAGGAATAGAAGCCTTTAGGGAGGACTTATACAGGGAAGCCATTTTGAGGTAAAATGAAATTAAGACCTGTTAAAATTTCATGAAAATTATAAGAAATTATGATTCCAAGTGGTTTACTATTGCAACAAACTTAAGGAAACTCATTATAAGGTTGCTCCATCGATTCAAGTGAAATAATCATATGTTACATTAATAAGAATATCCTTTTATAGGATTACAATGTTATCTTTTTTACATATGATTGCATTTAGATAATTTTGCATATCTCGATTACTTACCCATGGTAATATGAATGAAAGCTTGAACCGTACTGACAATATTTATAATTTTACTATTTTATTAATTTGGTGAGCATGATTCTGAAATCATTATTTGCAAGTATTCATATATTATTCTACATACATATGATAAATGATTTACATATGAAGAATGATTGTTATATGATATGCTTTAAAAAATATCACAAAAGTTGAGATAGCTAGGTTATTATATAAATTGTTTGTAAGTATGGATGACAGGAAATGATTGGATTCCCGACTCGGTATCAAGGGAGCTATTAATAACTGCTATGTTAGTAATGAACCAACCTTTATTAATAGTTATTTTAGCCGATAGGCTAGGTGATGACCAAATAATATGAAATGAAACGCATATAGTCAAAGCTTTTACAATTGCAAGTTATATTACTAAGACGATTGTTATTGATTATGAAATCATAATTGATACTCTATGATTGCATCGGAATTAAAAAAAAACATATGTTTGTTATAGTTGTTACTATTTACTATATTTCATGTCTCTTACCTTAAATGTCTCACATGATTAAAACATTTTTATTTTATGTACAATTGTCATGCATATGACCTATGATTTCCCGTGCATGTTGTTTTTTTTTCGATATATAAAATCTTATTTTAGATTTGATTAATTCACTAAGCTTGTAGCTCACTCATATATTGTCGACTTTCAAGAAAAGATAAGGAGCATCAGGGCGAGTAGTCAAGTATGAACATACAATTTTTGGATTATATAGCTTTTGTAATTGTACATACACATGGATATGTCCTTTTATTATGTGAGATTTTTAGCAGTTTTATATATATTTTTTGATAAAATCAAGATGTAATGTTAATGAATTATGAATGTTTATAACAATTGAGTTAGACTAATTTATTATTCGTTGAGTCTTGATTGTGCAATTTAGGGCAAGTGTTAGTAAGAATTTTGTCTAACTGACTCGGCTGTCTCCATCGCACCATGGTTGACCCTAGAAAGGAGGTCAGCTAGAGTGTTACAGAAAGCAACTTCAAACTTCAGATTTTGACATATTTCCCCACTCTCTCTAAAATTTAAACAGCAAATATTGGTGAGAGCATCATTTTAAAAATAGACCATTCTCATGAACCATCCATTTTTCTCATTTTCTTTTCTCTGCATTCCTTTTACTTTATAGCATAGAATAAATAGGTACATAACAAAACCAAAAATATTTCCATTTCAAACAAAGTAAAAAAGCAAAAATAGAGTATTAAGAAAAACCCTAAATACACAGAAAAGTACAACCTTTTCCCTTCACTTATATAAAGCAAAATGCTTCAGCAAAGCAGCGTGAAGTTTGCAAGTTGTTGTAAAAAGCATGAACCAAATATTACAATTGTTAAATCACATGCTTGTTCCATGCATCATTCGAAAACTTAGGGCAGTTAGGAAAAGAATATAGAATGTTTCTGCAGTTGAAAAGAAACGTCTAGAAGTAAATTTTTGCTATAAGTGGAACTAAGTGGCAAGACAAACGAACAGGCATAAGCTTATAAACAAGCAGTGCTTGTAAACTGCAAAGTTGGTACAAATTCATTTTTCTATGAGAACAAATATTAAAGGTTTGTTCGGCTCATTATTTTCTTTAATGAAACTTTCAATTATATTTCTTATCAATAATAAAAGGATTTGGTATAATATAATTTCACATACTTAACAGAGATAATTTCAACAACATTCACATGTCAGATAACCTTCATAGATCAATAGATAACATTGCACAATGTAATGTAGCGCTGAAACAAATACGTAGTCAATGATAGATAGCACATGCAGTTATGTAAAAAACACAGCTATGTACATAGCACTACTATTTACATAACCAGCTAGTGAAATAGATAACCCCTTCACAACCAAAAGAGAATATTGTGCCTATGCTGCTAGCGCTCAATTTTGTGGTAGCTCTTAAAGATGACAGAAATATTTTTATGATACCATTTATTTTCAGCTTCCATTGAGATTTGACGCCATAAATAAATAAATTATAGCACACCTGAGTTTCGACTCAAACGGGACAAGCGTTATTTGGTGCCCACTGGACCAAATAACGATTTATATATATATGCATAAAAATTGATATCACATAACACAAAGATATGAAAGTAAGTCAAGTCCTAATGCAGTTTGTACTCAAAGGATAGTTCATTCGGGGCTCACCATGTCGGGATCCAGAACGTCAATAGAATAGAGCCCATATCTGTCTTCTGGAACAACAATTTTTATATTGTCGTCAATAGAAACTGTTTTCCCTGCTCAATACACCACACAAATAACCATATACAAATCAGTTTAAAGACTTCATAGAAAATGAAATTTACATTCAGAAACAATTTATCAACATAGGTGCAAAGAAAAAGAAAAGCGTAAGTTAGGCTAAGGAAGCTATCCTGATATTTATTAATAAATGTTGTCGGGATCTTAAGAATCCCTAATTGATCAAGCACAATTTCTTTCACAAGCATGGATTTCAAAGCATGGATCTCAAAGTATTCAAAGGAAATTGAATCAATAAGAAATTTTACTTCAAATATTAATCCAAGACCCAAACAAGCTCGAATTGATGTCAAATCACCATAGAAAATTAAAAAATAAAAAAACATTATCTAATTATGGCAATCCAAGGACATAAAAAATGTTAGATTTATAGCATGAAAATGTTGTAAATCAAACAAAACTGACCTGGCCCAAAACAGCCAATCAAAAGCTTCCCTCCCTCCATGGGGCATTCAGAAGCATGCGAGAGGGCTGGAAAATGCAGCCACCATCACAACCTTTCACACCACCCTAATCAAATCTCAAGCATTCCTTTATAGTGCCGCACATTGTTATTATCAAATTGCGCCCACACTAGATCATTATTGAGTAATTGGCCAAACAAGGTTTTTATTTCCACAAATTCTAGTGGCCTCTACAAACCTCCATTTCATGAATCATTTGGGACAATAAGTTGCTGTCAACGTGAGAAGCATTTGCAAAAATAGTGGCCTATCATCATGATTTTCCATCAACCACATAACTTTTTGGCACTATTCCCATCATTCTAATCATCATAGTTTGATCCATCGCCTTTGTTAAATTCTTGGTGTTGAAATCTATGAAATAGAAATATATTTGGTTCCCTATTCGAAGCTTTTTTCAGCAATGCCATCTAGCTATCCCAACCTAGGCAAGCCAACCCAAGAGCTAGTCACTATTTTTAACATGGAAGGGTACAATCTAGCCAATTCTTATAAATAGGAAAAAGGAATATCTTGGCACATTCTGAATAAGAACCAAATTATCAATCTCAAAAATTATAAATAGACTCCAATCATGCTCATTTGGGACATTCTAAACTATTGAATTGGTAAAGAACTCTAGAGCTCTAATCATTGCCTGAAGTTACTTTCCACCGCCTCTTGTGTTCCTAAGTTCCTGCATCTAAACTCCCTCGGCCCCTAGGAAAACGACCAAAGGAGCCCAAGTAAATGGCATCTGCATCTTTACTGCTGCTTTATATTCTTCTTTTAAATTGTGTTGCCTTCATTTTCATGAAGACCTGCCCTGACATTCCTAATGGACACAACAACCATTTTGCATCACTCCATTTATCATCTTCATAGCAAGCTAGATCTACCCAACCATCCTAAATGGCCACAACAAACATCCTATTTCACTTCATCTAAGATGTTCACCTACAAGAAAAGAACCTACCCAACCATCCTAAGTGATTTCCATGACTTTATTGTGTCTCATAGTAAGTCAAGTTGCCTTTACCTATCAAACAATCTTTATTGACTACTTAGTCCATTGCTTTCAACAATTTCCTCTTTTACTGCCAAGAGGAGAACTAGGTTGGCCATCCTCAATGGCCTCCCTAACAACACACTAGCTCTTCGTCTTCTATCACTCCATGGACATCGCAACTTAGACTCCACGAGGAGGATAATTTTAAGAAATCCTTAACAGCCACCTAGACATTCCAAAATGGCCTCATTTGTTGCCTCCAAAGTTGTGTCGACAACACCTCAAGGTGGAAGACAATCCTAGCCATCCTCAATGACCTCCTTAACCTTCTATTGCCACTTCATCCAGTACCTTTTAGTTGTGTCAACTACACTTCTTGAACAAGGATTTCAAATGGTAATCACCCTTATAAGGTACCCAAAACTGAGAATACTACCAGTTTACTTATACTTGCTTTATATTGAATTCATCACTGAGTTTGGGAAGAGTGACACTTTGTAATTTACGTCCATTACTATGGAACATGATTCCAATGGGTTGGGCTGCATACTTTTCTAGGTTTTTCAAGCAATAAATCACGCCCCTTACTTGCTTTACTTCCTGATTATGTAGGAATTGAAGTTCATAACAATGGCAATTGAGGTCTCTCTTTCAACTGAAACAACTTCTTGCACTCAGCAAACATAATTTTAAAAGCTTGTATTACGAGATAACAGCCCTCTCAAACTAAACTAAACTCAGGTATAAAGTGCAGCACACAAATTAAAGAATAATTTTCCTTTTCAAACAATTTTGAATTTGTAATGAGGATGAAAGGGGAGTCAGATTTGAAACTTCACCTAACTAAAGAAATAAATAGCCCCAAAAAAGTCATTTCATGACATTCGAAAAGAAAAGAAAAAAGAATTTTACCAGTGGCGGGATCAAACCGCGACCAGAGTTTCTTCCTGAACTCAGAGTCAGCTCCAAAAATCCGAACCCATACTCTCTCGTTATTGCCATCCGCATCTACTGCATGAAGCATCGAACCAGCAATTCCAGGAACCAGAAGAACCGGATCAAGATTTGGATTCACAAGGGGCTGCTGCTTCTTGACAATCCTAAGCCACAGCTCAATCGACTGCATTAGCTCCTCCAGCTTCGACATTTTCATATTTCCAATAGAAGGAATCAAAGAAATACACCGAGAATCTCACTCGCTAACAAGAACTAGACAAGTCGAAAGATTACTGCCGGTTAATGCCTGACACAGATTGACGAGGAGATAGGAATCAAGAGAAACGAGACAAAGAAGCAAGTCAATCTAGGGTTTCGAACTTGCGTCCCGGCAAGAAAAGAGGAAAGGCAAGGTCAAGACGCGAAGGAAATCCGAATAGAAACCTTTGCTTCTTCGCGGGAAAAAAACAGCGGATTAGTTGAAATAATAAGACGATTTCCGGTTTGACCTTCTGCCACAAGAAGCCGTGGCACGCTCGAAGACGATAAAGGTTCAAGGTGTTACATACGAAAAAATATTACATTAGTGCGAATAGAGTAACGTGCGTAACAACCCAAGCAACCGAAAAAAAAACAAATAAAACGGGTTATTCATGCCTTATAAATGTATACAATTAAAACGGGTTATTCATGCCTTATAAATGTATTATTGTGTAATTATAACATCAAGAATATTTTCAAGACATAATAACACATGGATAGCACACAATAATATCAGAATAACACGGGAAAATATTCCATACAGAGAAAAAACGGCGCGGTAACACAGAGTAATATTTCTCTCATGTTATTCATATGTTATTGTGTGTTATTCATGTGTTATTATGTTCTGAGAATATTTTTGATGTTATTATAATATAATAACACATCAATAACACATGAATAACAGACAATAACATATGAATAACACGGGGGGAAATATTCCCTGTGTTACCGCACTGTCGTGTGGGGTGTCGTGGCGTGATTTCATTGGGTGATTTCATTGGCTACGCACCTACGCACGTTACTCTATGTGCATAGTACTGATGTAATATTTTTCTATTACATATAGGGCGCATACAGTATTCTTGTAAGAATTTTATTATAACATTTTATAACCATATTTTGCAAATAAAAGGGTTTTAAGCAAGATGGAAACAAAGAAAATATGCCGAGATGAAAAAAAAATATATGATAAAAACGCCAATGTAGTTTAGTTGTTATCAAAACTTTTATTTCTATTGAGTAAAAATATTAAGTTATTTAAGAAATAAAAGAAATTTGCTTAACATCATCTTCTTTGTATCATGCTTTAAATTATATTATTTTGTCAAAAAGAAATTGAAAGGATGGGTTTTTATGTTTTGTTAAAAAGAATTTTGATAGAAATAGAGACATAGCAATAGTGGGGCACGAGCCCATGCCCACACTGACTTGGCCCAATATACATATACTATGTTTGATAATTACTCACTTTGGGCATCAATCTTATGTTGTCCAAGCTTGTCTTGATCCAAATCAAACTTATTGGGAGGTGCTCCAGCTTATCAAGCTGTTAAAACTTAACAAATCAGTATTTAAGTTTAGAAATTAAATTCATAATTTTAAAGCCTTCCATGAAAATTTGGAACTCCCAACATCCCAACACTCATACATATTGCTCCAAATAATTTGCCTTACGTATTTTTTCATTCTACTAAAACATCTTTCAATTATCTCTTTATAATATATCGAACTCTAATCTTTATAATATATCGAACTCTAATCTAGCATTTAAACAAGATTATTTGCAAGCTTTCCTTTTCTTTAGTGTATAAAATTCTAATAAATCTATTATTTTTTTTATTATTAGTAATACATATATAAAACATTAATGAATATTAAATCATGTATTTCTATTATATTTAAAAGCTAATATAAAATCATTTTAGTTTAAACATATTGAACAAATACTGATGATAATTGCTATAAAATTTATAATATAATATCATAATATTAATATTTAAGATTTTTATTATTTACATACAATCAACATAAAAATCGTCCTATATTTTTACTCTAATTAATTAGCATATTTGAATCTAAATACTTTCTTAAATTTGATTAGCTTTTATTTTTAGCAAAATAAATTAATAAATGTATAATAATCAAATATGATAAATATGTGGAGAATATAAATAAATTAATAAATCAAATGTTAGATTGTATTTATCAACTTTTTCTATTAAAATATTCAGGTATGTAACGACTAGATGTGATGAAAATGGCCATAGCATTTTAAAGTTAGTAATTTGTGCCCCAACTAAAACATTTTTTTGCTATTCCTCTGGACAGAAAGTATCTCTTGAGTCTACAATTATAATTTGCTTATAATCAATTAAAAATAAGCTAGCAAAATGTTTTAGAGATTTTGTCCTCAAAAAGATTATTTGATATATAAGTCAATGATTAAGTATAAATATTTAAAAAAGGGTTGAAATTAAATATATTCTATTTCTTATTATGAAAAGCTCTAAAATGGCTCACCCTATTTTGATCCCCCTTAATCATGTATTAGACGTAATAAGAAGAAAAGCTGATAAAAATTCTGAAAAATTTTAAGAAAGCCTTCAGATGGACAATTGTTGATATTAAAGGAATCAATCCTTCAATTTATATGCATAGAATTAATCTAGAAGAAAACTGTAAACCCAGGGCTGATCCGCAAAGGAGATTAAATCCTGTTATGAAAGAGGTTGTTAAGAAAGAAATTTTAAAGTGTTTAGAAGTATCTACCCTATTTCAGATTTCAGATAGTGCATGAGTTAATCCAATTCACTATGTTCCTAAGAAAAGGAGTAACTGTAACTGTTAATGAGCATAATGAGTTAATACCTACAAGACAAGTTACAGGGTGGCGAATATGCATTGTTTATAGAAAATTAAATCTTGTCGCTATGAAAGATCATTTTCCACTACCCTTTCTAAATCAAATGCTGGATATACTTGCTGGGCATAAATACTTTTATTTTCTGGATGGATATACCGGCTATCACAAAATTCAAATATCTCCTGAAGATAAAGAGAAAACAACATTTACGAGTCCTTATGGTAATTTTGCTTTTAGAAGAATGCCCATTGGTTTATGTAATGCCACTGCTACATTTCAAAGATGTATGATGACAATTTTTTAATGATTTAATTGAAAAAGGGATTGAAGTCGTTATGAATGACTTTTCAATGTTTGGAACTTCATTTGACTCATGTTTAGAATATTTATCTAAAGTTCTTAAGCGCTGTGAAGAAACAAATTTAGTCCTTAACTGATAAAAATGCTAATTTATGATAGCAGGAGGAATTGTATTAGGTCATCAAATATCAGAAAATGGTATGGAAGTAGATCCTGCTAAAATTCATGTGATCACTAATTTATCTTATCCAACAAATGTAAGGGAAATTAGGAGATTTTTAGGACATACTGGATTCTACAGGCGATATGTTAAGGACTTTTCTAAGATTGCTAAGCCTTTATGCCATTTACTGGAGAAAGATGAAATTTTCAATTTTGATGAGGAATGCCTAAAAGCTTTTAAAAAATTAAAAGAAAAATTAATCACTACATCAATTATAGTTTCACCAAATTGGGAAAAACCTTGTTAACTTATGTGTGATGCAAGTGATTATGCTATTGGAGCTGTTTTAGGACAAAGATATGATAAAATTTTCAATGTTATTTACTATGTTAGTAAAACTCTTAATGAAACTCAAATTAAATATACAACAACTGAAAAAGAGTTATTAGCAATAGTATGTCTTTGATAAATTTTGGTCATATTTGATTGGAACTCATTGTATAGTGCATACAGATCATTCTGTTATTAAGTACTTAATGAAAAAGAAGGATACTAAACCGAGATTTATAAGATGGATTCTTCTTTTACAAGAATTTGATTTTGAAATAGTAGATTGGAAGGGAACTGAAAATCAAATTGCTGATCATTTGTCTAGGTTTGAATTAGAAAAACCACTCAGTTTTGAAAAAGAAATTAATGAACATTTTCTAGATGAAAAATTGTTCACTGTAAATGAGTGGTGTGTTCCGTGGTATGCCAATATTGTGAATTATATTTTTCGTGATCTTAAAACCTATGGAATGACATACCAACAAATAAAAAAAATTATTTCTGAAGTTAAGACTTATTTTTGGGATGACCCATATTTGTATAAACAAGGAAAGGATTTGATCAATCGAAGATGTGTACCATTAGAAGAAACTTATGAAATTATCCAAAAATTTCATAATTTTGATTTTGGAGGACATTTTGGTGTTGATAAAATAGCATACAAAATTCTACAATCTGGATTTTATTGGCCTACAATTTTTAGAGATGTTAATGCTTATATCAAAACTTGTGATAAATGTCAAAGAGTAGGAAATAGTTATAGAAAAAACGAGATGCCCCTCAATTATATGCTAGAAGTTGCAATATTAGATGTTTGGGGATTAGATTTCATGGGACCATTTATACCATCTTTCAGAAATTTATATATTTTGTTAGCAGTGGACTATGTATCCAAATGAATAGAAGTTGTTGCTTTACCTATATGTGATGCTCAAAGTGTTGCAAAATTTTTGTAAACAAACATATTTTGTAGATTTGGGATGCCGAGAGCTATTATTACTGATGGGGGAAGTCATTTCAGAAATGTCATTATAGAGAAATTATTAAAGAAATATCATATAAATCATAGGATTGCTACTCTTATCATCCTCAGACAAGTGGTTTGGTTGATATATCCAATCGGGAACTTAAAAGAATTATAGAAAAATCTGTGAATCCAACAAAAATGGATTGGTCAGTCAAACTTGACTATGCTTTGTGATCTTATAAGATTGCATATAGAAGTCCTATAGGAATGTCCTCATATAAGCTAATATTTGGGAAAGCTTGTCATTTACCAGTTGAACTTGTGCATAAAGCATATTGGGCTATTAAAGAGTTCAATTATAATTTAAAAGATGCTGGTAAGAAAATATTGTTACAATTAAATTAGCTTGAAGAGATAAGGAATGAATCTTATGAGAGTGTTAAGATTTATAAAGAAAAAATGAAAATGTGGCATGATCGAAATATTCTAACTAAAAATTTTTAGTCAGGGTAACAAGTTTTGGTATATAATGCAAGTTTAAGATTATTTCCTGGTAAACTTAGTCCAGGTGGATGGGCCCATTTGTTGTGATAAAAGTTGTGATAAAAGTGTTGTGATAAAAGTTTATCCTTATAGAGATGTGGATATTAAAGATCCTAATTATGAGAAAATTTTTAAAGTGAATTGGCATAGACTGAAACCTTATTATATAGGGGGATCAACATAAATATATTGATGGAATGATGTTGGGTCAACCAGAATGAGCAATGGTTACGTCGGGTTGACGACGTAAAATCAAGCGCTTTGTGGGAGACAACCCATAGTTATCAGTGTATTTTTGCTTTGATTATTGTTTTGAGTCTGATTAAGAAATTTGGGGTAGCATTTTTAAGTTTATTAAGTGCTAGTAATGATTTTTAGACT